GATGGATGGATGGATGGATGGATGGATGGATGGATGGATGGATGGATGGATGGATGGATGGATGGATGGATGGATATTCATTTGTTTCATTAGGCTGCTCCTGCTTTGGTTAAAAAAAAAAACAAAAAAACACAGACATAACACAAAATCAATAAATAAATAACAGACCCATGCTGCTCCCTTTACTTTTACAAATGCCCAGATAGGCCTACATACTTGGTTTGGTTCTTCTTCTTCCTTGGGGTTGCAGAAATTGGCTTCGATAATGATGCTTTTATTCTGAAGGTTTACCGGATGTTGACAGCGAATTAGCCAGCTGACGCACACGTGCGGTAAAAGAAGCAAGGCTGAAGTCATGTCCAAAGCAAGTACGTCTACAAATACTGTGATAGATCTATAATCCTGGTATATGCGTGCATATAATCGGCTGAAATGTTTTCTTGGTTTGTTTACAGAGCAAAAACGAGCTAAACGTCTTGGTTTTCTCGGGAGATTTAAGGTAAGCCCCATCTTGGCTAACTAAGTAGCTAACTTTTACTTCAGGCACTTGTCTGATGATTCTCGTCTGTCACTCACACAGATTCATGTGTATTTCAACGAAAGGTTATAACTTTACCAGGGATATATATATTTTCCGTTATGAAAATATTTTAACTCTATTTAATTGAAGATAGACGCTTGGTTTAGTAAGTAGCTGTCAAAGTTCCCATCTGCTGTATGTAAGAATAAACGAATATCAATTCAGCTTCTTTACTTTGCTGTAGACCTGTCTTTTGGTATCCTAAAAAGATATAAATATCGTTTTCTCTACTTGATGTTGAACTCTGAAGGACTGGGATCTTAAGGTGTGGTCATTGTGTTGAGCTGGGATCGTCTTTAACCCCTTTAAAAATATGTTTGCTTTTCTTTCAGACTAAAGATGGGCGGAAAGCTGATGGCTCAGGGTCAGCAAACAATGCAAAGCAGCCTGCTGCTCACCAGGTCAAGGACTCCAGAAACCCAGAGGATGTCAGGAAGCAAAGGGTAACCTTCTTTGCTTTTTAAGGTCCATTTCTGAGTCACATTTTGCCAACAAGAACCAAATTCCAAACAATAACTTCTAGTTCGGCTTTTACAAGCCATAAGTTTATAAGATTATACAGATTTGTGTTGTCATTAGGGCTGAAACAATCATGATTTATTGATTATTGAAATAACCATGTATTGAATTTTATCTTTAATTATTTGTTTATTTTATTTGCATGTTTAACCATTTTGCTTATACACAGACGATGAGAATTGGCTTTGTAACTCCTACAAGCCGCATTTTTTTTCAGGGCCCACTTTAAATCAAAAAAGGAAGAAACACTTTGCCTGTAGATACATACATCAATAACCACCATTATAAAAATAATATAATGTTATGTATTTGAAATAATATATTATTTCAAATGCATAATGTAATATTATGCATTTGAAACGTTGCTATCCCTGTTCATACGCATAAAAAACTCTTTTATAATAAAGGTATTTTTAAACTCACAGCATCCAATTTTATATAGTAGAATTTTATAGAATAGTTTGATGCAAAGCAATATTTTCGTTATTTTTTTTTTAAAGATTTTTTAAAATGCGAGGAAAAAAAAGCAACAAAAAAAAACTGCAGTATTTTGGTTGATGTTATCTTTTACCCTAGAATAAAGTCACTGCTAGTTAAGCCTATATAAAGATTATAGTTACAGTTAGACTAATCAGCTGTGTACTTTAACTAGAATAGCTCAATAGTATATTTGTACATTTCCCTTATAATGTATATTACTAATTGCCAAATATGTAAAGATACAATATAATATGGGCTTATATAAAAGAAATCAATATCGTCAATTGACGTTTCAGCTCCTTGAAGGATTTTATCCTTTCCTGTTTTGAATATTTGAACCTCTAATTGTTTTTTTTTAAATGGCTTTTTGAAGGCTAGGGGTAAGAATATCCCCAGGGAATGTGATTTAAACCTAAGGGGGGTCAATTTAAGGCTATAATATACTTTTCTTTTTAGCTCCAAGCTCTCCAGGAAAAGCAGAAACTGTCCAGAGAGCGCGAGATGTTGAAGAGGAGAAATTTACAGACCTTTCAGAATGACATCCTACAACGACAAAGAGAGTTTGAGCTGAAGGTAAATAAAAGTCCATTCTGACAGATAGTCGAATGCTGAATATTGCAGTTTGTTTCAAGTTGTTTTTCTTCAAAATATCCCCACAGGAAACAGAGATGCAGAGTTTGGAAAAACATGTAAACTTTGAAAACGAGAATTCAAGAAAGGCGTATTATAGAGAATTTAAAAAGGTAGGTTTCTGTTAAATCATTGTCATTGGTCAAGCTCTCTTTGCATATTAAAGGTTTGAATGAGCTTTAAGTAGACTGGATTGTGTAAACAAGTTGTTGTTTGGAAGGTTGTGGAGGCTTCAGATGTCATTTTGGAGGTCTTGGATGCACGAGACCCTCTGGGCTGCAGATGTCCTCAGGTGGAACAAGCCGTTATTCAGAGTGGAACCAACAAGAGGATCGTTTTAGTCCTTAACAAGATCGGTAAGAATGTCTGTACCTTCAATTATGAAAAATGTGATCTGGGGTTCATTATGTTTTTATGCTTTCTGTTTGTGTTTTTTTTTCAAAACTATTTTATTACAGATTTGGTGTCAAAAGAAATAATTGAAAAGTGGATAAAATATCTCCGTAACGAGTTTCCTACTGTGGCTTTCAAAGCTTCCACCCAGCAGCAAAATAAGAACCTGGTAAACACTAGTTCTTATAAACCATATATTAGACAAGTCTCCATATATTAAAGCTGTGTTATTAAAGTTTGATAAAGTTAATACCACTGGGCTTTGTCTTTTTGCAAGTAGAAACGCAGTAACGTTCCTGTGACACAAGCCACCTCTGAGCTCCTGAGCAGCAGCGCATGCATCGGAGCCGACTGCCTGATGAAATTATTGGCAAACTATTGCCGCAACCAGGACATTAAGACCGCCATCACTGTGGGAGTTGTAGGTAAGATGCTGAATGCAGTGACACAGTTAATGTGCTTTAAGGGTTCTTTACCTGCTGCTCTTGGATTTTAGGTTGTATTTAGCAAAGAACATGTGAAAAACAAAACTTTATTCATAGACTGTGGAAAAAAAAAATCAATTGTAGTTCATGTTTATAATGTGGTTTAGCATTAACTGACGGATTTGTACTTTCTGTTCTTTAAGGTTTTCCTAATGTTGGAAAGAGTAGTTTGATCAACAGTCTGAAAAGGGCCCGGGCGTGCAGTGTTGGAGCCACACCTGGGGTCACAAAGTGAGTGTGTGTTAAAACTGGTGAGGAAGAAGAGAGGGACAATAACAAAAAAAACTATATATATATATATATATATATATATATATATATATATATATATATGGCAAAATAATGGTCATATGCTTATACAGGATTCTGTGGTGGGCTTTCTTAGCAGTCTCTGAAGTTTGATATATTGATATCGTATCAACCAAAATTATAAAATATAAGCTTGTGTTTAGATTTTGACCTTATTTAAACGATCTAGATTTTTTAAAAGCATTTAATGAAACCCCTTCATAAATTATGTGCTATTATCCTGCATTAGTTCAGACATCGTCACATTTTGAGCACAAGAGGCACATTTAGGGCTGAAACCAATAATCTGATTAATCTTGATTAATTGATTACTGAAATAATCGTCAGCTAATTTAGTAACCGATTATAGACTGTAAAACATGTATCACATGTGATACAGTAGTAATTACATCAAAATTGTGGAAAAAAAATAAATAAATAAAGATTTTAGATTTAACATATAAAAAAAATAAACATTTTCATTTGTTGGTATGCTCCCTACAGATCTCCTCAAGTGGAAAAGTTTTAGTTTCACCTGGTTTAATTTCGTCAAATGTCTTCTTTAAGGAACCTTTGGCTATCTGATTTTTAATATATTAATTGAAAAAATAATCAACTGTTTAATCGCTTGGAAAATAAGCTCTAGGCAAAACCACACAGCTGGTCTTTTTGGGTGTGCTAGTGTGGTTGGACAGGAATTTTCTCTTAATTGCTTGAAACAAATCTTTGAGCTCCAAAGCTGGCCTTCCTCTCTCCTCTTTCAACTGCTAAGTCCAATTTGGCAAAGTAATTTTGTGTTTTGAGAAGTAATTTTCTTTTAAGAAATTTAAATGCCATATGTTTGCAGACTAGAGAGGAATTAATCTAAAATTGTTTGAGCTTATTGATTGACTAACAACTAAATGATAAGGGGCCTTTAAAAAAGGTTTTCTCATAACATCTCTCTATAACATGAAAGGCTAAATATTTATTTTACAATATGCTGAGTTAAAATAATACTTTGTTTATTGTGCCAGCTGTATTAAATACTGATAAGGCATCAAATAAAGGCCTATCAGATTAAAAGACCCAGGAAATTCAGGTTTATATATCCCTCGTGCTATATTTAGCATGAAGCTGAAGGTGACAGTCGAGTGGAATAAGGGGCATAGGCTTATGGCCTTGTCACTAAGCTTAATTTTTCTCTGTCTTAAAACCATTGTTCGGTTCAGACTTCGGAAAACAAAGTAAACTTCAGTCATCCTTCTTGTGTTCAAAGCACACCTCAAAACACTGAACTCAGTTCGTGGAATGTTTAACTTTCATTTCTTATTTAATTTGGTCTCCAGGTGTCTTCAAGAAGTGCATTTGGACAAACACATTAAGCTTCTGGATTGTCCCGGAATCGTCATGGCAACGTCGACAACGGATGCTGCAATGATTCTCCGTAACTGTGTGAAAATCGAGCAGCTTGTAGATCCTCTTCCCCCTGTTGAGGCCATCCTCCGAAGATGTAACAAGGCACAGGTCCGAACCAACACACCTTTAACTATTCACAGGTTGGTACTGCAACTCGGTCGGGGCCTTGACTGGATCTTCCTGTGTACAGATCATTGAGCACTACGGTGTTCCAGACTTCCAGACGGCTCAGGAGTTCCTGGCTCTTCTTGCACGCCGTCAGGGCAAACTGAGAAAGGGAGGACTGCCTGACACGGATAAAGCAGCAAAGAGCGTGTTAATGGACTGGACGGGGTAGGTTATTCAGCTTATTCATCCTTTTAACAATCATGTTCAGTTTGTGTTTGTTTGATATAAATGGTCTATGGTTGTGTTTGTGCAGAGGGAGGATCAGCTACTTCACACACCCTCCAGAAACTCACACTCTGCCCACCCACGTCAGCGCTGAGATCGTTTCAGAGATGGGAAAAGCATTTGACTGGGATGAGTTGGAAAAGGGAAATCAGGAGGTTCTTGCAGGTAGAAGGTCTAAATCTATAACCTCATGCAGACAAAACGCAGTAATAGCATTGCATAAAGACGGAACAGAACAGGATTCTGTGTTGAGCTTTCTTAGCAGTCTCTGAAGTTTGATATAATGATATCGTATCAACCAAAATTATAAAATAGAAGCTTGTGTTTAGATTTTGACCTTATTTAAACGATCTAGATTATTTAAAAGCTTTTAATTATGCTTGAAAAAAGCCCACATTATTAAACAGCACGGCAGCAATTAAAACATATGTTATGTAAGCATCAAATTAGATATTTTAATCTTTTTAATTTTTTAGACTTCCCTCTTTTTATATATATATATATATATAATCCCCCTTTATATCACTGTCTAGTAGTTACTTTGTTCACCATAAACAGATTTTATCCATCGTTCATTAGACACTAACGGACGCTGCGTGATGTTATTGTCGTTGTCTGGGCAACCACAATGTTTTACATCATGTGGCAATGTTCAGCCAATCATGTAGCGTAATGTCACTGGCATGAAGCAGGACCTGAGCAGATCTGGTACCTACTCCGTACAGTTTAAGAACATACACCATGAGCGGTGGACTTTTAAACCCTGTGGTTTCGTCGTACAGTTTGAGCTGTAGCTGAGTACAATGATTGAAGCTATAAAGTGTAGGCCTTAGTCAGATCAAGTGTCTTGCTGAGAAAAACCCTCAAATTATTATTGTGTTCCAGAGTCCTCCTGTCCCGATGTCCAAATGGGATTCTGCATGGAAACTGCTGGCATGACACAAGGGGGTCAGAATGAGTCACCTGAACTGGAAATGGGTGGAGAGTCTGTGGAAGATAAAGACGAATCCGAAGTCATGGAGGATGATCAGGATTCGGAGGTGAGGAGGTTTTTCTCCTTACACTTTATTAACTTTTAAACCCTCAGTTTATTCTCAACATACTGATTTTAAACTAACCCTGTCTATTTGATGTATTTCTGTCCTGCTTTATATAGTTTGGACCAATGACTGTAGAGATAAAAACACAGAAAAAGACAGACTTTTCTGTAAAAGATGCTGCTCCCAAAGCTCCGGACCTGAAGGATATTCTGAAAGTAGATCCTTTACAGCAGGGCCAAGCCCTCCTAGCTGCCAATAAGAAAAGGAAAAAGCAGCAAAAGAGAGCAGGTTTGTATAATCCCTTTTTAAATTCCAGGTTTGTTTACCAAATAACTATAACTTCTTTATTACCCTTTTTTTAATGGTTAAAACACTAAAAAGGCCCAACTGTTTGTTAAAATAAAGTTTTCATTTGAAAAAGTAGACTGTCTTTTGAGAGAACATTTAGTTTTATCACAAAGCTGGTTTACCTTATGGAGGGGTCTATAACCGTGGCAACAAATAAATGAAACATGCCCTTAAGATTAGATTTCTCTGTCTGGCCATCATTTATTTGTTGCAGATATCAACACAATAAAATAATGTAATCTTATTGTAACCTTGAACATAATGCGCACCGGGTTAGAATGAGAGGGTTGTTTTTTTTCTGTGTTCATTTTAAATCATCAATGTTTTCTTTCAGCATTAAGCATTGTGCACTAGAGAGCTGAATGAAGCCGCAGCTTCCATTTTCTGCTGTAGGGATATAGATATGATGTTTGATAGCTGTGAGAGTATGATATGTTTTTCACACATTGACTCTACACACAGCCACAACAGCACTATTCTGGTCTCCGTGGGTACTTGTTGATTGCAGCCAGACTATAACTTAATGCATGACATGTATCTATCTTATTATCTAGAGGATGTGCTGGCCCAGTGGTGTGCACAAACATTTTTAAGGTCAGGGATGGAAAGAAAAAAAAAAAAGGGGCAAATATAGTCCTGATCATTTTAATCATTTTAGAGGGCACTTCAGCACACGTATTGACTTCTGAGAGGGTACTTTAAACACCTGTTTTGGCCCCCAGGAAGGTGCTTTAACACGCGCATTGGCTCTTGAGAGGGCACTAGAGCATAGGAGTAGCGGCCTAGTGGTTAGGGCATAGAGCTTGGAATCCTGAGGATGTGAGTTTGAAACCCACTCCCACAGACTGCAATTCTGGGTTACTGAGCAAGACCTTTACCCCCCATTGCTCCACGGTGCCCCATGATGGCAGCCCACTGCTCACCAAAGGGATGAGTTAAATGCAAAGAGTGAATTTCTCCAATATGAGATCAAAAATTATTTATTATTATCATTATTATTATTATTATTATTATCCTGTGAATGTTGCTGTACTGGCCAACCTACTGTCATTAACTTCCACTTCATACAAATTAATGATAATAATTATCTGAAATATTATTTTGACATTTTACCTTGGCGGAGAGAAAATGAACTTTATATGTTGAAGCAACAGTTTACTTTCATTAATTTTGAGTAGAGATTTCCTAAAAGATTGAACCTTGATCTGACCTTGTGGTGAAATTTCTGCAAAAAATACAAAAGCTTTAGGAACACAATGAAAATAAAAACTACATAAAAAAACAGGGATAGTGTTTTAATTCCTTTTTTTTTATATTATTATTATTATGGTGCCTATATTAAAGAACATGCGCCACATTATATTAAGATCTTTAAATGTAAATGTTAAGGTCTTTTAAATTGAAATGCCTCAAACTCCCACTCAGCATGTCAGTCCTCGAGAAGATTAAAAACCCTTTGAAGAACGAAAATCCGGGTTACAGTGTCTCTTTTAAACAGGACTGAGTATGAGACAGATGGTGACTGTAACTTCTTCAAGCCTCAAAAGAAGAAATGAAAATGGAGTGGGGAAAGAAAATGCTTGTCGAGTATCTTGTTGGTTAAAACATTCATGCAGTCAGTAGCACAGTTTTTCTTTTATGGCTGTGTTGCTTGCACTGCACCCTAAACCACAAAATCCTTATGAATTACCTTTTTTTGTCATAAATATAAAGAATTGTTATAGAAATCAATTTATTTAACCAATACCAGAACCAGCCACATGATGGTACTGTTAGAAAGCAATTATTAATGAAATAAAGATTTATGTGCCCTACAGAGCCTTCTCAAAGATCTTTCCTCCCAGCAACAAACTAAGTCGTTGTTTACATCCGTGCTTTGGTTTGAAGTTTTTTCATTCTACTTGAAAATATTTGTTGTTGCAGTTAAAAGCATAATTCTTTACAGTTTTAAATTGTTTCCCCTCTGTTGCACGTTTTAGTTAATCTAAGAATGCAGTTTTTGCTATCTGTATAATCGGATTTTCTGTTGTCCCGATAATGGGTCAATAAAAACTTATTCTGTCAAGCTATTTGAAACCTGATGGATCCTGTTTGAGCACAACCTCCTCAGGCATAAAGTATTTCGCTGACTCAAAAGCAAGAGATATTTGTTTTTACAGTTAATATTACATGACTTGATTTGGATTGGAATAAATCTAAAAAAAGGTTTGTTTGTTTTTTTGTTTTTTGTTTTTACAGACAAAATTGCAACCAAGCTCTCCGACACGCTGACATCTGCAATGGACTTTTAACTCTCAGATGGCTGATGGAAAATAAATTAAAATGAAAGCTGAACACCTCTTAGTCCTGTCTTTGCTTGAACTTAATTCACAGGCATGGTATTATTTGGGACCTTAAAATCGTGAATATGAGTTATATTAATATGCTGAACGTTTGCACTTCTATCTCAAATGTTTTATTTTTTACTTAAAGTTATTTATAATTAACTTCAATAGCAGCAATCTGCTTATACAGGGAAAACTATTGTTGACTTCCACAGCTTGACAGCTGTCAACAACTTCCGGGTAACGTTAGCGTGATGATGTCATCTCAACATAAACAACAGCGTGAAGTGACAGGGCTACAGACTGCTTAGTGTGTAACCGCCGACACAGAAAATATGGCAAAGAAAGCGGAGGTGTCTGGTTACTAATGGCTGTATTTATATGAAATCGACCCAATTCTAAGGTAGGTATATTAATTCGACGGGATATTTAGTTGTTTAAAAGCGTTAGCTTGTCGGGTAGCTGTTGACTGCTAGCTTACTCGTTAGCCGAGCGCTAACTTCCTATCTCTACACTGCCTTAGCATTTGTTAGGTAAATGGAGAAACACCCCCGTTAAATGTTTAATAGAAACAAGCCGATATTAAAAGAAATTAGGAGTTTCTTCATAATTTTTTTTTTTGTTTTTTTTTTTTTTTAATGAGCTCGTTGTTGTGGGCCCGGGGCTGTCAAAATGAACTCCGTCATGACGCCAACATAGACCGCTTAAAATAGAGATTACAAAACAGCTGAAAGTAAGCTAACAGATGCCTGGGTGCTTTTACAAAACGTTGGCCACCATAATGGGGATCAAAGGAACGGAACCGACTCCATCTTCTGTTCTGGGAAGTTCGGCATCTTTTTAGCGGACTTTTTTTGTGCGTTTTTACATAAGCAGAAAAGTCCTGCTGGAGCTCAGCGTGGAACAGCATGTGCTGAACAGAGACCAGGGGTCCTTTCACTCCTGGAGGGAAGCCTGGGTCTGTTTACAAGCGGGAACAACTTAAGAAGCCCCCTTTTTCTAAAATAAACAAAAATTCCAGTATTGCTGCTAATTGATTCAGAATCCCATTGAATGTTTTACCAATTTACCCCAACAATTAAGGTGGATATTATCTGAAAGCAGGGTGTGGTATATTTCATGCATTTATTTTGATGATTGAGGCTTACATTCCTCAAATTAATCCTATATGTAATAACACTTAAGGGCATTTAAAAGTTATAGTTTGAGAACAGAAATCATGTTCTACATGATCATGCAGATGATTGCTGATTTGAAAGTTTCATATCAAAAAGTCATTGATGGCCTGAAGGAAAATTAAACAACAGATCACTGGTATGGAGCCAATTTTCCATAGGTTTGTGTCAAACCATAATCACGGGAAATTGAAGTAGAAGGTTAAAAGGTTTGAAAATGTTAAACAAGCAGGAGGAGTAAAAATGGCTTCTGGTGGCATTTTGAGTCACCTCCTCAAGAACTGCCACATGGATGGATCAAGGATGCGGGCTACAACTGTGGTTCCAGAGGTAATCCAATCCTGAACCACAGAGTGTCTTACGGGTCCAAAGGGCTCTTATGAGATCCGGTAAAATTAGATAAAGTTAAAGAGTCTGAATGATGTTTTGAAAGACACAGAATCAAATTGTTGGAGTTCCAGTGTGAAGTTTTACAGTTTGTGGAGATTTTGCCGTCATCTGATTTTGGTAAACAACTTTATAAAGTACATATTTAATGCAGGTAACCATCAGGAGATCATAGAGCAAATTATCAGTCTGTGATGAGCTTTGTGTAGTTGTGGATATTTCCAGCAAGCCTCTGTTCCTCACTCACCCTGGAAGTTCCAGTACCTGCTTTAATGACCACAGTATCTGTGCTTGTGTCTGGCCATGACAATCTCAACAACATAATTCTCCAAAAAAAAAAAAAAAAAAATCTCCACACACCTAAGGTCAATTTAGAGATGCCACTTAACCTAAAAATCATGTTTTTGCATCATGGTCTGCAACCATGCTGCCTGGATGATTTTGTGAAAATAATGTTAAAGTCATACCTGTTAATCTTTTTATGAACCTTTTAATCTGGAACAAATTCTCAGAAAATTGCAAAGCAGCCGAACCACCAAATTCCTTTAAGGTGAGGCTGACGACCCAGCTGTTAAGAGCTTGTGCTGAGTTGTGCTGTACAAATACATTTATTTCTTCTTACTTAACTGTTACTGGCAAATGCTTATTCCTGGTTTTCCTTCAGGTAATCGTTTTGTCTTTGATCTTTATGGATATTTCTTTTTATAAAAGGAACCTTTTGTATAGCTCTCGTGACTTTTCCGTTTCTTAAAGTGCAGCAGTGATCAAATGTAAATATTGTTGGAGAAGGAAAAAAAAATAAAAAATGCTGCAAAAAATACGCATTGATACAGTCAGTTTGATGCAGAGTCTGTGACATGATTTTGAGTTTTTTTCAACATTCAGCTGTCTAATGAGAAGAAGCTGTATTGGAATCTGCTGGACCTGCATTGAATGCTGCAAAGCTTCTAAGTCTTAGTGTATTTATCATTTTTGTTCAACTTATGAAGCTTGTTCATATAATATGATCACACATGTTTTTTTTTTTTTATATAAGGAAAATGGTGGGGGTTGTTAATTTTGATTCAATTTAAAAAGTACTTTATTAGTTGATGTTGCAGGTGTTGATAGCTGTATGCAGGAAGGATCTTCTGTAACGGTCTGTCTTGCACCGATCTGGAGTCTCTTCAGAAGAGAATGCCAACTGTTGTCCATAATGTTCTTCATTTATGAAAAAACATTTTTTGGAAAATAATCTCCAGAGGTTATACAGGAGTTCGTAGAACATAGCCGGGCTTCTTAATTAGCTTGTTGAGCTTTTTTAAGTTATTTGCTCTAACACTGTTACCCCAGCAGAGGATGAAGACGAGATCAAACTCTACATAGACTAATAGAAGATATGTAGCATCTTGCTGCAAATGCAGAAGGACCTAAGCCTATGTAGAACTACAATCTGCTCTGTTCCTTTTTGTAGATGGTTTCACAGTTGTGTCTCCAGTCTAGTTTTTTGTCCAAGTGAACACCAAGGTAAATGGATTTGATGCTGATGATGATGCATTAGCTTTTAATATTTGATATGTTGATCACTAATTGGAGCTAATCAGGAATAAAATACCAGTTGTGATCTTTGGATGGTTGTTTGTGCAAAGTGATGTCTATGTTTTTTCTTTATTTTCAGACTGAATGACCTTATCTGCTTCTGTCAGAAGCAACAAAATCCGCTTGCATTTATTGCTGTAGTTCATACTTGCATTTTTCACTCACTGTGAGTGACGTTTTCTTGGTTTAGTATGTAAACTGTTGACTTGTTTGGCTGATGCTAGTATGGTTTTGTTTTTTCACACCCTCACTCAACTGTGAATCAAGCATCAGTTGCAGCTGGTTAAGGGCCAATAGAAATCTGTCTGCATTTAGCCGGTTACTGTTCTTAAACTTTCATTTTGAAACCTGAAATGACACAGGAAGTCCAAGAGGTACAGAAACTACTGACTGGAAGTTAAAGCTGTTGTCTTTCAGAAATTTCATTCAAGTTCTAAGGGAGACAAACAGCGTATTTGGATAACATTTCACCAGTTTTTTTTGTATGATCAAATGAGAATTAATTTACTTGCAGGGTATTAAAAGTTGGATTGAATTATGTGGTATGTAATTAGAAGTTAATTTGACATTAAAGCTAGAAGTGATAAAAAAATGATTTATTTAGTTCGTACTTAATTGGATTATAAACAGACTAAACTGAAACAATTAATAAAAGTCCCAACATTTGTTTTCATTTGGTCTGAATGACTGTTTTTAAATAGTGTCTTTGTCAAATATTGTGTAGAATATGAAAAACTAATGTTGCCTTTTTTTATTTTTATTCCCCAGCTCCATCTTTAGATCTTGATCTGCTCCTACCATGTCGTCACGCGTTTTGCTGCGCCAGCAGCTGATGCGAGAACAAGCCCAGGAGCAGGAAAGACGTGAGGCCCAGCAGCAGGCCTCTGCCTCCCAGCTCCGGGCCTCTGTCCCCACGACAGCCATCTCTGTCACTTTGCCTCCCAATGCTGCTCGTCCTCCACCAGCACAGGTGCCTGTGGAGGTGCTAAAAGTAAGAGTGAACAGTTGTTTTAACTGGCGTTTGCCTAAAAATAATAGGACAAACACATATGTTTCACCACTCCGGCAGTTTGTACTTAATTCATCAACACAAGTTCTCACCTACTGGTTAATTTTCTGAAGTAAAAAGTCCATCAAACCGTTGTCTTTCTCCTTGCCACGGTTGATTTGCAGGGCTGAAAGGTTCAGTAGAGAAACCAACACATCTCTCGGCTCAGAAACACACTCTAGCTCATTTGGCTGGATACCAAATGCTTCCCAGGCCAGAAAGGTTATATAGTTCCTCCAGCCATTAAGTTAAGGTTCCCAGGATGCAAGTTGATCAGATGTGCAAACTGGCTGAGGTGACTCCGTTTGATGTGTAGGAGCAGCAGTTCCTCCCATGGATGAAGCAGTTCTTCAGGTTTCCTTTGCTTATTATTCATATATCACAACTCTGTGTTTATTATGAGATGTGGATCATGACTTTCTATGGGAGTAGAAGAAACTTACAGGTGTGCTACTTGATTCAGCTGTTATTTTACTAGAACATACTGGAAGAGAACACAGATTACTGATGATAGTGGCCAATCTATCTGATGACCTCTTGCTGTTTTCTGTTTCTTTTAAACAAGTCAAATATAGATACTTCAACTTGAGGCAGAAAAAGACCCCAGCAATAAGTCTTTTTAGATAAACATGTATTAATCTCTTGTTTATTATCTCATCCCATAGCATCTGCAGTCTGACATATAAAGAAATAGTTTCAAATTCCCCCGCTTTTTTTTTTCTTTCTTTTTTTATTCTCATATAAATGATGTTAATGCAACTAAATCTTCTATGAAATGGGGTTTCTGTTTGCATGCTTTGCTGCCTTAGTTGTCAGGAAGCAAAAAAAGCCTGAAAGTTTTTACAAAAAACTACGTCAGCCACTTTTAAAGAACCATTTAAAAATAAATAAATCAGATTTTAGTCAAACAGTTTGGCTGAAATGTTCAAAGATCAAACAAATTCAAGACAACAGATTGTCTCTATGTTGTCTTATAGTAGCACAGACTGGAAGCCTGGAAGTGAGAGAAAACCTTGAACTGCTGGATCACAGGATTGTCGTCTCTGCTGACTCTAAACAAAAAGCTTGACTCACTTCCTGCCTGTAGAAATCGCAGTAGAACTGGGGTGCAATAGTACATCAGTTTGATGGTTGGCATGTGATTCTTTAGTTTATAATGTTTATTAAAATGGATGCCTCCCAAGGAGATGCATGTTTGCATAAAAGTCTGCTGGTAGGGCAGTTTCACATTGAGGATCCTTCATTTAAATATTAAATATGGAGAACTTGCAGATCATAAAGGAACGATGGATAAATGGATGTGCCAGTTATCCCCTCTACAAGAATTAATCTCAGTTTTATTTAAACTTTTTGACAAGAAAACAAGTAAAAGCAAAGCTAGTCAAGTTTCATCTCAGTCTTGGTCCTGCTGAAATCACAGTAATATTTCCACATTACTTGGTCTCATTGTGTATTTCTGAATGTTATGATAAACTAAGTGATTTCAAGCAGTGATTTTACCTGAGGATGTTTTTAGTGGAGTTTTTTTATTATTAAAGATGCCTCTGAATGCTTTCTTAGTTTCTGATTCTACACATTTTTAAATGGATTAAAAAGAAATCAACAAAAATTATATAACAACCAAAGAGTTTAAATAGAGCGAAACAGTAAATGTTTGTATTTAAGTCTTACATTGTATTTGGGCTTTTTGTACATGAGGCTGTGTGTTTATCTCTTGCATTGTTTTAGGGAAACATGTTTCTATGGGATTCAGAGCATTTATCATCTGCTGAAATGTTTCAGGTCCAGACCCACTTGGAGAATCCTACTAAGTACCACATCCAACAGGCACAGAGGCAACAAGTCAAGCAGTATCTCTCCACCACTCTGGGAAACAAGGCGATCACTCAGTCTCTCGGCGTTTCCCCTGTGCACCAGTCTAGCTCGGCCCCTGAAGTCGGCCCCTCTGCCAGCAGCGCCCCCAACAGTCCTATGGCTCTACTTAACATCGGATCCAACAAGGAGGAAGTATGGGAAATTCCTTTTCTTTGATTCTAGTGGCTGTCTGTGGGTTTCATTCTCTGTACAGCTGATTGCACAACACGGTCTGTCATTGGTTCAGCAGATTCACTGGATATTTTTGAGGAAGTTCAGTCCAGATTCCTCAACTTATTTCCAGCTTAATAACTGTGTTTGTTTTGCACTATTGAGCCTGAAGCTGCCACTAGGACGATGCATACCTTCTATTATCACATTCCTGTTGATCTGTTGTCACAATAGGATGTAGAATATTGCACCTATAGCTGAACAGTACCCTGCAGCCTGTCTTTGAAGGGAAACTGTGTTTAGAGCCTCAAGCTTTGCATTCTCATTCTGTTTATAGTGTGGAGATAAACATCTTTCTCGCCTCTGTTGCATCTAGATTGATGACGTGATCGACGACATCATCAGTCTGGAATCCAGCTTCAATGACGACATTATTACAATGATCGATTCAGGTCTCCAGCTGCCCAGCACGGTAGGAAGAACACTGCATTTGTTGGACTGTGAATACTTCCTTTTTAACATTTCCTCAGGACAGGCAGGTTTTTCTGGTATCGCTCACTAAAGGAGTCGTTTAAGCGTGCTCTGTTACAGCTCTCGCTTATGCTCTTAAGTGCTTGAAAGGATGGTGTCTTTTATGTGAGGAATTCTGAAGCTGTGGGAGTAAATATACATTTCTGGCACTGGCTTACGATTCGTCACAGAAGTGCTGCCTGGGCGGGGCCGAAGCCGTCACAGGCTGTCAAGGGGAAGCGAGACGAAGTAGATTATGCTGACTAGAAATGAACAGTACCGGCTTAACTAATAATTGGTAGGGGGGGAAAGGCTTGTAAGAGAATTTGAATGATGAGGATTATGGTGATGCTTTCGGAGGACGAGAAAAGGAAAGGGGCTGAGGTAAATGCTCTAAGCTGTAATGTTTTATTCTAGTCTGATTTGCTGCTTTCTCTTTGATATTGTATCTTTTCAAAGCTGAGGCATGTAGACTTTTTTTTTTTCTCAGTCTTATTGTTAATGACATGCATGGTAACTTTGTTGATGCTGTAGCTCCCGGGAACTCTGCTGGATGTTTACAACAGCCCTGGAATGGCAGGTCCTGCTCTCACTGTTAGCAACTCCTGCCCTGCTGACCTGCCACAGATTAAAAGGGAAATTACTGGTAAAGAATTCACTCTCATCAACTTCTGTCTTTGTGATCATGAAACTTATTTCCCTCTAATTTCACTATAACATTTTTAAAATTGTTCCTTTAGATGCCGATACCAAAGCATTATTGAAAGAAAGGCAAAAGAAAGACAACCATAACCTCAGTAAGTCAGCCTCCATGTTTTGAACCTCTTCTCCTTTTCGTTGATCCCACGTTCCTTTTCGTCAGATCTTTGACTGATTGTTTGTGGTTGCTACAGTTGAGCGGAGGCGACGATTCAACATAAATGATCGAATTAAAGAGCTGGGTACTCTGATCCCCAAATCAAGTGACCCGTAAGTAATTAACTTCTTATTTTCAGGTTAAGATTCAGATTATTTTCTTCGACTGCCTCTGATGATCCTACTGATCTGTTCCCAAACAGAGAGATGCGCTGGAATAAAGGCACCATTCTCAAAGCCTCTGTAGACTACATCAGGAAACTACAGAAGGAACAACAGAGAGCCAAGGATATTGAAATGCGCCAAAAGAAGTTGGAGCAGGCCAACCACATTCTAATGTTGCGCATTCAGGTCTGTATTTGTGCTTTTAGGTACATTTTAGCAATATTTTTTTTTGTTACCGTTTGTGGGGGAAAAGCCGTTTCAAAAGTGTGGAGACTGGAGTGAAGCTCCACCTTCCAGCAGGACACTCGCACTGAGCATGCTGCCAGAGCTACAATGAGATTGTTTAGATCAATTTATATTAATTTATTAAGAATCAATTGACAGTCTAGATCTAAATCCAGCTGAGAAACTTGGGCATTTCTGTTCAGCCGCTCCTGTGATGTTTAACCGGCAGACTTTAAATGTGCAGAGCTGATAGACACTTCCAGAGATTCAGCTGGTTTGGGGGATATGGAAGCTGGTAAAAAATATAGAAAATCATGCCTTCATTTTGTTACTCCTGGAAACACTTTGAGTTTTTTTTTTTTTTGTAGCACAGAAAAAGTAAAAAGTGGGTTTATTAAAGTTTATTAAGGTGCTATTGAAAGTCATAAAAATCACTGACTTTATTTAGTTAAACCTCATATTTAAAATCAGTCACTCAGGTCAATGAAGAGCATTAATTCTGAAAACTGTTGGCTTATTGCACATTTGGCCAAATGTAGATGGCTCTTTGTAGGTCTGCAAAGATTTCACATATTTGGGTTTAGACTCAAACATTAAAATCTTGCCAACTGACCAGACAACAACAAATGCAGATGAGACATAGATTGTATGAGAGGTTTTAATTCTGTCTTAAGAAACATTTACTTCCATGCTTTATTGACCTATCAGTCTTTAATAAAATTAAAGTATCATTTGGTATAGATGCTTCTTATCAACTATTTTCATCTGCCTATACATCCCATGAATGACAGATTTATTCACCACATCATCTGAACGATCCCGTTTGACCTTTTTTTTTATTTTTCAAAGGAGCTAGAAATGCAGGCACGGCTCCACGGAATCCAAGCATCCAACAATATTTCCTCAGGCCTGACTTCCGACGTCTCGCTGCAGCATCAGCCAGAAGCTCCCCACAGTGGCCAGTCACTGCCCACAAACACAGCAGTGGCCTCCTCCCTGAACCTTTCCGGGCTGGGAGGCGCAGCGCAGCCGCTGCCGGCCTCCTTCCTTTCCCCGCCCTCCTCAGACTCCCCCGCCGGGGTCACCATCAGCAGCCCGCTGGACCTCGGCAGCCTGAGCTTCGCCGAGCTGGACGACCCCACCGCCTCAGCACTGTACCCCGACGTCGGCCTGGGGGACATCCTCATGGATGACGGGTGCACCCTGTCGCCAGACAGGATGGGCGGGCCGCTGTTTTCACCTCTGTCACCAGGTGCCTCTAAAACCAGCAGCCGCAGGAGCAGCCTTGAAATGGACGAGGACTTGTGATGAGCTTCAAGTGACCGGAGACGGTCTGTAGGGAGGAAGCATGTGAGGAAGGGCAGTCTATCACTAATTATTAAATCTATTTATAGGATTGAACCTCAAAGTTCAGATAAATGAAAACAGCGTAACTTAAAATGGAATTAGATTTGTCATTAAATATATTTTTGCCATATTTACCATTGTTCCTATTTGGAACTGATCAAATGATTGTCTAAGTTTATAAATGCAATCTTGTTAAATGGAATATTGTATATTAGAGGCATTGAGCTGTAGCATTAAGAAATGTAAAGTGCTTCAATATTTTTTAAAGATTAATTCAGAGATTTAATCGGGAGGTCTTTTTTTTTATTACTATTGTTATTCCTAAATTTATTATAGACTTATATATTATGAGAAAAGCTGTGAGGATTTACTGGCATCACAAACTTACTAAGAGATGCCAACATTCAGTATAGTTTAATTTAGTCTCTTTAACTGACTGGAATCAGGGTTGGTCGCTCCTCCATGTTGGTTTTTTCACCAGCAGCTACAGAAGGGATCTTTTGTTAAGCAAATTGGCACATTGTGAAATATTTCTGCATATTGTATATAAGAGTATTTTATTTTGAGCAATCTCCTTGCACCTTACTTTAAGGCAGTCTATGCATTTTATGAGAGCTTTTTTTTTTTTGTTTTTTTTTGTACCATTACATCCAGTGGACTGTTTCTAGCCCAGGTTAGCATGATAATAAAACCATACAAGCAGCTACTTAGCCAAAGCAGGATTTCTTCCAGAGTAGTTACAGTTCCACTCTTTACTACATTCTCTTAGTGAACGCATGAGTTTATGAGAGAAGAAATGTATCATTTTCCAACAGTACTGTAGTTTATTATACTTTTTTTTTTTTTTTTTTTTATACCTGATAGTTTGATAAATGCTTTTTCATTACTAATATCTGTATTGTCTTCCTAAAATTTCTGTGATTACTAAATTAATTTTACCAGTTGGCATGTTTTACACAGATTGTTTTATTTTTGAATGATGGAATCATGCATTAATGTTCTTTCTAGTATGGACTTCAGAGGGCCCCAGCTCTCTTTAAAAGAAACCACTAGCTTCACCTCAGAGTTTAAAAAAAAAGAAGAAAAATTGATGACTGAGTGGATCCTGCAAATCAGCTCTACAGGCACAAAAATTAAAATGCTTAACACAATCTTGTATGCAGTTCATTGATGTTTTGTTTTGTTTTTTTATGCTGATTTAGTTTTGTATGTCCATTAGGAGGTTACAGCAGCAATACTCATCTGTGTATTGCTCAAAGTTTGGAATGATGATGTTTAAGGTGTACATTCAAAATCTGGACCTGCTCTACACCAAACACCTCTGCCTTTTTATTGTCTGTACATGTTTTCTGCAAATATGCAATATTATCCACCACATGTCCTGGTATGTTTGAGTGCTAAAATAGACAGTTAAACACAAAAATGTGTGTCTTGTCGCCATGATTTGGCTTTCGTTAAGATTTTAACTAAATAAATGAGTTACTTCAGCTCATGTCTGTTATTTTGATGTGTAATGTCAGTGGTAGAGCATTTGAGAGATCTCCATAGCGAGGTCCAGACACTCGGTGGCTGGGAGGCAGATGTCACAGGTGGTGCAGTCGCACAGGAAGCAGCGGGCGCTTTGAAACGCACACGGGTTGCAGCTTTGGGTGAGATCCAGGAGAGGCTGAAGAGCAACAGACTCGCAGCCACACAGAGAGGAGCACAACGACCAGAGGCACATGGTACAACCTCTGAAGGTCTCCAGCAGGCAGTCCAAGGGACGGCAGAAGAGACACCCCAGCAGGATCGCAGCACAAATGTCTCGAGATAAAAGATTAAGTTAGATGAAACTGAAGGAGGAGATGAGATCAAAAATAACTCAAAATGCCTTACCGCTTCCATCTGCTTCAGTGTGAGCTGTGGAGGTTTTCAGGTGGTCTTGACTCCTGGTTGATGTGAACGATTTGCTCACATCAGGAAGTGCATGGATCTCTTGGAAGGGTTGCAGCAGGGTGTGTAAAGGTTTTGGCTGGTGTCCTTCCAGAGAACAGCGGCTGCAGACATAGACCGCTGTAGACAGACCACCTTTAAACCCAAGCTGCACACAGTTTTCTACAGAATTCTCCTCTGTGCAAGAAAAGAAAAGCAATAACCAATGAATCTTCAATATGCCTCCCCATGAAACAATCATAGTAATGATCTTACTTGGTGATAAATTCAGAGAGACATCAGCTAAAGACAGTTTAGTTTCCTCTGTGGATGTCTCCTCGCACGTACTGTTGACTTCAGTCAAAGATCCTGGAAAAGAAAACGATGGGTTCAGCTCCTCCTAAAAGCTGCTGTTTGTCTCACAGTCCTGTTAAACATACCTGTTTTATCTGCAGCTTCGGCATCCAACTCTGAGAAAGTGGATTCTGAGCTCTGCAGCTTTGGTACCTCATCACCTTCACATATGTTCATATTGGTTACATTCTGTTTGTCATCCATGGTTCAGTCTGTGAATCACCTACATCGCTCTGTTAAGGAAGAACAAGGGAGATAAGAGAGAAAAATATACCTCTTCATAGGTTAAATTTATATTTAAAAAAAAAAGTTAATTCAGCCAGTAATCAGTTAGTTGCAAAGTGAAATTCAATTGAGATGTACACCAAACTCTGATTATCACCTATCCCTCTCTTTTTCCTCTTAACCTCGTGCTAATTTTTTTTTAAACTATATAAAACCCCCTTCAAATACATAAAAATTTGTTGTGATATAACAAAATTTGGGCCTAAATACTAAACCCACTGTTAATTTGCCATTACCTGATATGCAAAAGAAAAACGATCTTTGTGTCATAAAGGAGTAATGTTTTCGTTATATATCAGGTGGACTGATTTAAGGCAGCTGACAAAAGGTAAATAAGTCTTGTCACACTGCAGAGCCCAGATCAGATCAATAGCTGAGGTTTCTGAGCTGTTAGTGATGAGTGGACAACTTGGAAATGGCAGCAAGTTAATCTATTATTCATCTCCACTTTGCCTACATTTAAGAAGTAGATGAAATTGACTACATGGACATCCTGACATCTATATGAGGGAGCCGGATTCTGATTTTCATATCAACAGTCATGCAAAAAATAATTAAACCATTTCATATAATCATTTTTATTTTGCACATCCCAACATTTTCTGTTCAAATTTATATAATATATATATATACGGAGCTATTGTCACACTGAATTTGAGAGTTAAAGTGAGTAACATTAAGTTTCAAAGGTAACTACAGCTTTCCTAACTTGTTCTATGCTGTTGGATTTGAAACAATAGTCATTTTTGGTGTTTCTGTTCAATGATGCTGACAAATCCATGAAAATGCTGTTGATCTGTTTGACTCTACTTATAATAAGTTCCTGGAAAATAAATGGTTCTTACCTGCAATTCTATTAATAAAAGGCGATACTCCAGGATGAGTCCACAGTCAAAGACCCCATTATTCTGTCAGCTGTGGAACTATAACTTTGTATCAGCCTCTCCCCTTTTTCTCTTATTTTCTCTCTCATAATCCCCCCTATTCTCTCTCTCTTTCTCTCTCTCTCTCTGTCTCTCACACCCACACATACACACCGGCATACATTGTCCATGGGTACGTAAATGACAAATAAACAACAAAAAATGAAATATCTCAAGTAATGTAACTTATTTTAAAAGAACTGATTGAAAT